TTTCAGGGCCTGCCTTGCCGTGTTGGGGGGCGCTGAGAGGGTGAACGCTTCGCTGCCGAATTTTTGAAATTTTGCATTTTGCCGCAGGCTTGGAAAGTGAAAGTTTTGTAGTGACATCACCATCAGCCAGTTAGGTAGTGTTCTCACTGGGTTTCACGGACCTCGCCTGAACCGAGCGCGTACGAATAAGCCCTTGTGCGCAGCGCGGTTCGCATAGGAAATAATTTCGTGGGCTCACTCGCGAAGGGGGGAGTCGTGCTTTGGCGCGCACGCGCGGAGACGGGCGACGCTCAGCGAATTAGTCTGAGAGGGGTAAAAAATGAGCCGCTTCGCTGAGATCTGAAGAGCCAAAATGTGAAATGCTGCCCGCTCGTGCGTCTAGAGAGCATCGATGCTGCCCTCTCGTGCGCCTAGATCCAAACAGTCACAATATCGTGATTGTAGTTGCCCCTATACGTGATAGACGGGTATCTGAATCCACCGAATGACGTATTTACCGTACGTTGCTTAGTTCTCTCCCCCCGGGGAGGTTCGTTTTTTATTCTGAAATCAACCCCCCCGGGGGGAGATTCAAGTACCCCGGGGGGCCGGTCTTTACGTTGTGGACGCTATCTACCCCGGGGGGAATCCACCCCGGGGGGCTGTGCACAAAAACGTGGTCCACACACCCACACACAGAAAACGCATGAACCCGCGATGAATATTTACGAGCAAGCTTTCAAACAGCAACAGCAGAGGGAGGAGTGTAAAGAGGAAGAAAAAGGCGAGGGGAACAACAACAGCTGGGGGGGTTTGCCTCGTCCCTCTAGTGATGCCAAGAAGAAGAAGAGGAAGGGCCCACGTGTTGCTCTTGCACAAGTGATGTAGTCGTTTTGGTACGCAGGACGTAGACCTGTTGGTGTAAGGTTTATTCGTGGTGAGGTTCTACTGCTGTACCATGTGTTTTTGCTTCAAAGTGCCTATGTTTCATGTCCACAAGCATTTTATCGAAAAATAAACATTTTTTCGCCCTTTCCTGCGAGGTGCCGGTAATCCCGGGATTTCTGGTACGTTCAAGACGGCTTCCAGAGGAACGCTCCATGCAAGAAAAATGGAAGCACTGCTGTGACGTTCACGTTTGCGCTTCTCTTCCAACAAAAATCGACCCCCACAAAATCACAACCCCCCGGGGGGAACCCATAGGAAATTGCTCCCCCGTGGGGAGATTGAGTAACCCGGGGGGATGTTTTTTTCCCCCGCGACATACGATTTACCCGGGGGGGAAATNTGAATGTCCACCAATCTACCACACTCCCAAGGAAAACATAAAGAAACTTCTTGTTCCTCCTTGTAGTTCGTCACTGCAAATCCCGCATATGTGTACGCAATATACCAGCCCCATGCTATGCTACGAGTATATCGAATAAACTCTATCCCGGGGGCAGAAATAAGCAACGTACACTAATAGAGCCGGCATGTTCAGCGCCTGTTTGCGAAAATGGTGTTGAAAAATTGCAGAGGATTGTGGCCTCCGGGTGTTGCTTGAGCCTGCTTACGACTCAGAGACAACGTGACTCTAGGTGTGTCCCAACCTAGACGGCGGACTGCTGTGCACGTACCCCGAGTTGATCAGCATCGTGCAGCGTGCGAGTGATTGTTGCTGACACGG